GTTATTTGTGATCACTTCCAACTGATTCTTAGTTCTTCCTTTTGTTTCAATTGGTGAACTAATGCAGTACCTGATAGAAAAGATACAAATATTTCACAACATTTTGAAGACTGCTTTGAGTTTATTGATGAAGCTAAGAAGAAAGGTGGTTCTGTTTTGGTTCATTGCTTTATTGGAAAATCCCGGAGGTAATATTTGAATAAGACATACTAAAAGATCTTCCACATTCAAAATGTTTCAGAATTTTATTCAACTACTACTCTGTTGCTTTTCGTGGCATTTCAGAAGTTATAAAACCTAACGACAGAAATAAGCGATTTGAGTTGTGCGATGATGAGAATCATGACAAGAAGCTGTCAAAAATATTTGCTCAGCCATTCTCTTTTTAGTTGTCAGAAGTTAGAACAACTAAAGAGTTTTAGCTGTACTGTTATCTGCTGCGGCGAAAACTAAGATTTTAATGTGTTTATGTCACAGTGCTACTGTGGTTGTTGCTTATCTAATGAAGAAGCGTGGTATGAGCCTATCTCAAGCCTTAAGACATGTCCGAAGGAAAAGACCAGTGGCTTCTCCTAATTCAGGTTTCATGTCACAGCTGAGGAACTTGGAGAAAACTCTTAAAGGTTGGGATTTCATTCTGTGAACTAACATAAAAACTTTCTCCTTTCTGGATTATTGATCTGATTTTGTGTTTCCTTCTTGCCATGGCTATAAAAATTTTCCTGTTTTAACTTAAAGTTGGTTTGGAAAATTTACAGCGAATAGGGCAATCATTTTGGGACGGAGGGATTAGTATACAAACACTATTACTTGATGCTTAGATCACTGATAAGTTTTCTCTTTGCCATGATAGGGTCTCAGCCCAAAAAAAATTGAAGGATGAGGTCCTTTTGAGCAATGTGATCATTTGGTGTACAAATCAACTGGGATTAACAACCAATAGAGACTGTGCTGAATCTGAATTGGAATTGTTAAATTCTTCAGATCATTCAAATAAAATTGTATTCCCAGTTCCAACTTGTTGGGAGAATTTTATGTTTTGTTCCCCTTCTTTTAATTCTTTGTTTCTATTTGGTCGAATTAAGTTTGTGGTTCTGATATTTATGAGTTGATGATTATCAATTCGTTATATTTGTCTGAAATCGTAAATGTATTTGTAAAGCTGACACACACATATATATCTTACTATATTAGAAACAAAAACCTCCCTTTCAAACACCTCATATGATTGCCACGTGGCATGTAGAAAATACTAAATTGTCCTTTTGTCTAACCATAACTAAATTACTAAATCTCCCTTTGCACTTTACGTGACACTTTTTTTTTTTTAATTTTTTCTTTATGTTTCATTCAACTAGAGTGGTTTTTTAAATTGAATTGATCAATTAGGTTTTTTTGTTACAAAGTGTCAATTTTGTTTTAAGCGTATACCCTTCGGATGAAGCTTATTACAAAGCTATTAAAAATCTCCAAAACTAAGTATTGATTTGGCACGACCAATGGAGAACATCAATAAATCATCTTACTAATATTTAAATTTATTAGGATGCTTTTATATTTTATCTAACATTTACTTCAACACATATATTCGATTAAGCTATTTATATTTAATAAGTAACACTTATAAAACATTTTTAAAACATACATGGCGAAATACAATTTTTTTTTTTTTTTGCGAAATACAAATATTTCTATGATCACACTTATAAAACATTTCTAAATCCTTCAAAAATTTCTAAAATATATCGCTCCAAATACAAAATTTTATTTTTTTCAAATATAAATATTTCTAAGATCTACAGATAAACTGGGCCAGGATCGCGCATTGCGCGACTAGACATCACTAGTATATATATATATATTTGATGATAAAAAAAAACACGTGGTTCTTAGGATTAGACAACGATTCAATTCTCATAATAGGATTGTAAGAGAAATTTTATTCACATTTGCACGTTCACCGGAGCAGTTTTTTTTTTTTAGATAAAAAACATTGGAAAATCAAATCATAATACAAGGATTCATACAAAAGTCGTGTTTGCTAAACACGAACTCTATACAAATTGGATTCATTAGAAAAAAAAAAATATTGGAGGATCAAATCATAACAAGGGAGATTTATATAGAAGTCGTGTTTGCCAAACACGAATTCTATACAAATTGTATTCATTAGGAAAAAAAAGTATTAGAGGATCAAATCATAATAAGGGAGATTTATATAGAAGTCGTGTTTGCTAAACACCAACTCTATACAAATTGTATTCATTAGGAAACGAATATATTGGAGGATCAAATCATAATAATGGAGATTTATACAGAAGTCAAGTTTGCTAAACACGAACTCTATACAAATTGTATTCATTAGGAAAAAAAATGTTGGAGGATCAAATCATAGTAAGAGAGATTTATATAGAAGTCGTGTTTGCTAAACATGAACTCTATACAAATTTGTATTCATTAGAAAAAAAAAATATATTGGAGGATCAAATCATAGTGAGCGAGATTTATACAGAAGTCGTGTTTGCTAAACACGACCTCTATACAAATTGTATTCCTTAGGAAAAAAAGTATTGGATGATCAAATCATAATAAGGGAGATTTATATAGAAGTCGTGTTTGCTAAACACGAACTCTATACAAATTGTATCCATTAGAAAAAAAAATTGGAGGATCAAATCATAATAAGAGAGATTTTTACAGAAGTCGTGTTTGCTAAACACAAACTCTATACAAATTGTATTCATTAGAAAAAAAAATTGGAGGATCAAATCATAATAACGGAGATTTATATAGAAGTCGTGTTTGCTAAACACGAACTCTATACAAATTGTATCCATTAGAAAAAAAAAAATTTGGAGGATCAAATCATAATAAGGGAGATTTATACAGAAGTTGTGTTTGCTAAACACGAACTCTATACAAATTGTATTCATTAGGGAAAAAAAAATATTGGAGGATCAAATCATAATAAGGGAGATTTATATAGAAGTCGTGGTTGCTAAAGACAAAATCTGTACAAATGTATTCGTTATAAAAACAATATATTGGAGGATCAAATCATAATAAGGTAGATTTGTATAGAAGTCGTGTTTGCTAAACACAAACTCTATACAAATTGTATTCCTTAGAATAACAAAAATATTGGAGGATCAGATCATACTAAGGAAAATTTATATTTTATACAGAAGTTGTATTTGCTAAACACAAACTCTATACAAATTGTATTCATTAAAAAAAATATATATATATTGGAGGATCAAATCATAATAATTGAGATTTATACAGAAGTCGTGTTTGTTAAACAATAACTCTATACAAATTGTATTCATTACCAAAAATAAAAAATAAAAAAATTAGAGGATCAAATCATAATAAGAGAGATTTATACGCACGAACTCTTTGCAAATTGTATTCATTAGGAAAAAAAATATTGGAGGATCAAATCATAGTAAGGGAGATTGATACAGAAGTCGTGTTTAGCTAAACTCTATACAAATTGTATGCATTAGAAAAAAAAATATTAGAAGAGCAAATCATAATAAGGGAGATTTATACATAAGTCCTATTTGCTAAACACGAACTCTATACAAATTGTATTCATCACTGGGACCGAATTTGTGACGGGCCCATAGCCCATAAATATGAGGAACTTCATGGCTAAGAAGGCCCACGTTATTCCGAAATTAGTGGTCCAGCTACTTCCAGAATCTAGACAAACATACCCATAAAATATTAGTGGGAAAATTCTTCTTGCCATTCTTACCTCCAGAAATTGACAAAACTAATCAAACACTCCCCAACAATTATCAGACATACTGGTTGATATTCGATTATTCCACGGTTTCCACCATCAACCACAATTTCTCTCTGCTTGAAACCTTAACTGGTAAGTTGTTGTATATCTTAATTTATCATTTCCCTTTTCTGTTTTGATCAGGGATAATCATGCATGTGTTACTTATGAATGGAAATTTGTCGGTTGTAATTTTGGATTATGTCCCAGAAAGGGAAATCATTGATTGCTTTGTGATATTAGGAGAAACCCACCAGTTTCATTCACTCCTTTGTTTCTGAATTGGTAATGTTTTTTACTTTTTATCTGCTTGGGATCGCGTGATTTGAATCATGATTGCCGGATGGTTCTTGTTGTTAGTGACTGTGAAAAGATTCAATCTTTGTGAAAAATTTTACTAATGGGATTAAGAAATTGTTAAAGTATGGTTACTTAGTCGATTGATGAAGTTGAGATACTTTAAGTGGTGAGGCAAATGCTTCCTTTGACCTTGCCTTCTGTACTGCTGTTGTTTCTCTGTTTTTAGTGGCTACATTATTCCATTGTTTACCAAGCTCGAGTAGACTCTTACAGAAATTGGTCTTTGAATCCAGTATATACTTCTTTGATGCTGGAACAAATGCTAGGATTTACCTTTCTACACTTATTTTAGTACCTCTGAAGGTTTTTCCTAGTACATGTGGCTTTGAACTTCCAAGGTTGGTTCCAACCATCAAAGCTGACTATGGTTGTTTCATTTACTAGGAGTTTGTACCTAAAATCTTACTCTCAGTTTAAGAAGATTGCATTACAGGAGGAATTTTTGTTTTTGCAAGCCTTAGTTGGGTTTTATCTTGCTGTTGTGGAAAGTTGAGGTTCTCTGGGTTAAGGATTTTGATCAATTTCTTATAGCAGCAAAGAAATTTGACAAACACTTTGAACGAGCAGAACTTTTCTGAAAAGAAACACGTACCGAGCGTCAAGATAATTCCTTAGGGCAAATATGGATCGGTTTGAGGAAATGTATAAGGAACGTCTTGCGGCATTGTGGCGAGCTATGTATGCAACCAAATGCATCAGAGAGGACAATATACCTTGCGAAATTGAAGAGGTAATGAAATCTTGACCTAGCTTCTTGTATAGATTGGTTTAAGTACTCTTTTGCTACTTAAGTGAGTACTCCAATGCATACTGTAAATTGTCTTTTATTTTCTCTGTTATATATCAGGGTCTCTACTTGGGTTCTCTTGGAGCTGCGAGTAACAAGAGTGCTTTGAAAAGCTTGAATATCACACACATATTGACAGTGGCCAACTCCCTGCCCCCTGTTCACGCAAATGACTTTGTCTACAAGATAGTTGATAGTAAGTGCCTCTAATTGATATACTTCCTTTCCCCTGATTTCTGGATACTATGCACATCATTTCCTTTCCTCGATCAGTCAAAACTGTGATTCGGTGGGATAGAAGTTGAAAGTACATGTAACTTTTGAGGATCAGAAAAAGCTTGTATGTGAGCTGTATTCTTTTAATAGCGCTGCTTTGCTACACTTATTGAAATTGTTGATTGTAATTTGCTGGTTTGGACTCTTTCATTCATGTGGTAGGTATGCTTGGTTGAATCATAATACCTTGCCTTAAATTTCGAATATGTGAATTGTGATTGATTATTCTCTATTTTCTTTTTCTTTGGATTGGTGAATGATATAGTACCAGACAGAGAAGACGTAAAGATTTCGCAATATTTTGATGATTGTTTTGAATTCATTGACGATGCTAAGAAGAAAGGTGGTGGTGTTTTGGTTCATTGCTTTGTGGGAAGATCGCGGAGGTAACGCTATCATAACAATAAAAGCTGTTCCACCTTCATCTGCTAAAATATCGTAGCATAATGCTTTGTTGCTTTTGGTCCAATGGTACAATCAAATGACAAGAAGATACTATGCCAACATGTGAATAGAGCTATGGAATGATTAAGAATGAAATGTGCAAATTTTTCGTGGTTTGTACTATCGTTGTCAGTTGGTTGAGCATATCTCCGTGGTTATTTTCATTAATCTAAAATCTTTATCTGAAGCTGGTGAAGTTCTTGCTGGCACTTGTTTCCAACAGGTAAAAAGTGGAGAAAACTCAGTTTTTCTGTGTTTTCATTGCAGCGTAACTATAGTCGTTGCTTATTTAATGAAAAAGCATGGTATGAGCCTATCTCAAGCATTGGATCACGTCAGAAGTAAAAGACCGGTGGCATCTCCTAATAAGGGTTTCATGTCGCAACTGATGGATTTCGAGAAAACACTTAAAGGTGAGGATTCATTTTCTGGAATGACAAATGTTACTACTTTCTCAACTGTTTGTTCGTGATATGATTTATTTCCTTTCTTCCAATGCCGATAAGATTTGTCCATGTTTCTGCGTGTCTGATTCAATCTGAAAACGTTGCAATATGGCTTTACCAGCAGCAGTAAAACTTCATGCTAATCACTGTCAATTTGTGTTGCAGGATCTCAGTCTGCAAATGAAGGGTAGAGTCCTTTCAGCTTTAACCACCAACAATAGTATGGTGAATCTGAAGTGCAATTTGTAAAAATGTCAATATATATAGCAAGCAAAATAAGTAGTATCATTGTTATTATTTCTGACACAAAATGGCTCGACTCTATTTCTTTATTTCTTATTATGAACTTAAACCAATTTGGCTACCTGACCTCCTCTTATAAGAGAAGATAACCATTTCCACTATTAGCTTATTTCCTATAGTTTCTCATCTCTTTTCTTTTTTTCTATTTTCTTTTCTCAAAAGAAATTTATTTATTTATTTTTTAATTAGAAAAGAGTAAGACGGTGTTCAACCCAAAATCTCCAGCAAAAATGTGGAAAATCATAGTTGACACATTATTACATTGTACTTTCTGTAGGGTATCAAAATCACTGCACTCTATTTGGGTCTATGAAGAAGACCCATGGAGCGACTTTTACTCCTAAGTCCTATTATTGCCATGAATTAATTACAATCTAAAATGTCAGCATGACCATTAACAAACTGACTGCACTCTGTTTCTGTACATCAAAATCATAAAAATTACCTTTTACTCCTAAGTTTTACTAGTAAAAAAGTTGAGACAATCATTTTCAACGAGACTATAGAAGTGATTCCATTCTTTCATCAGTCCAAGTAAAAACTGACTTGAAAAATTTGGTTGATGTTTGACTTTAATCTCGTTGATGAACATTTTCTGTCATTCTTGTTGTGTACATTTGACATGAACTAGCTTTGCATAAATGAGGTTGAAGTTCCTTATCCATACAAATTTCTTTTCTTCTTTTGTTTTTGTTATAATGCAGGAGGCTCACGCTTAAACTCGTACATTTTTGAAATATGTTATCTCTATTATATCATGTTCCATCAAGGGTTTGACTCCCCTGATGGTGCTTCCAGTCACTGCAGTCTTCCTAGTACATCCATGCGATTTTCTACATAACAAAACCATCCGTCAGAATTTTTTCTGTCCACTTATGACTAGCATCAACATCAACAAATCCATTGTAGTCCTAATCAAATTGAGGTATGGAGATACACAGTCTTACCTTTGTAACAGAAAGAGATTGTTTTCGTTGCGACCTCAAGTATATTGTATCATTTGATATATTTATTGGATGTTGCTGTTGAGCGCTTTTATTTTCTCATTTGAGTGCCTTCCAAAAAACGGATATGTCCTTTGCACAATAAAAGTATGTTTTTTTTCAAAAAATAAAAAGGGAAGGGGGGCAAGGGATATATGCACCAGCCATTCACGGCTGGCGCAGAAGGAACACGCCATCCAATAATCTCGCCTCCATGTAAAGGGAGGCGAGAAAACCTTTGCCAGAGATGAAGTGGTGGAGCCCGTTTTGGGCGCCACCTTTGTCCGGGTTGGCGAGCAAACGCTCGCCAACCGACCTAGATCACTAGATTGATGTACAACAAACTTCACCCAGACCAAGCCGGATCGAAACAACCACGGGTTGGAAAGAAAGGCAAGGGCAGATCGAAGAAAGGAGGCATCTCAAAAAGAAAGCAAGACAAACTAAATATGTGGGCATACATGGACGGCAGTCAGGGTGGGACGAACACCAGCAGTTCCAGTAAAGCAGGTACCAGTAAAGATACCTCGGGTCAAGGTGGGACGAACACCAATAGTTCCAGTAGAAACCATACGTCGGGAGCTGAAGATCCTACCAGAGGTCTGATATAAATTTATTTTATTTTAATGTGCGAATTATTATTATCATTTAATTCTTAGAGTTTTGTTTCATGGCATGCGAACACAGGTACGTGGACTGGGTTAGGTGGGACGAACACCAGCAGTTCCAGTAAAGGCTATACGTCGGGATCTGAAGCTCGTGTCGAAGGTACGATTTATATTTATATTTTTAAAAGTGTGAAATTTCATTATTTTATTAAATTCTTATATTTAATCCAGAGATAATGAAATTAATTTACTTGGTAACAGATGTGATGCAAACATATTTTTTTAAGTTTAGGCATAAGAATGAGATTCTGCAGATACTCCACAACCATGTTTAGTCATATCTTGATGTCCAGCCTGACAACAATTGTGGTTTTCGCGTCATTACAAGTTGCATGTTGAGAAGGCAGAATAATCATATTTTGTGTAGACAGATAGTGTTCGATGAGGTTATAAATAATCCTGGACTTTACGGGAACCTTTACGGGCATGACAAATTTAATTTTGAGGTACTATTAATACACTTGTATAAATGTGATTTTATTTAAAACTTTCCTTTACTCGTCTTTGTAGATGGGATAAATTACCTGGAAGTCTAGAACGTATGTGGTGGACTGATATAAGCGAAGCTCACTGGATGTCGACAGAGAACTTTTATCCCGTTACTACATATTTCAATGCTATTGTGTACTACTTCAGGACAAATGGTGCTGAAAATCTAAACGGCACATATTGGACTGTGCTACCACTCATCGCACGGGGCGGGACAACAAGACCAGAGTTCGAGATCGTTATTTGCCACCTTAAGCCCTACCAGCACTTCATTCGACTCAATCTGCAGGGTGATTTTCCAATTCCACCTATTCACCCCCTTTGGCATCACGACCGTGATAGTAGTGTTATTGGTTGGGAAGTACCTCTTGAACCTAGAATGCAACTATGGCGTACTTTGGTCCCACCGAATTTCCCGAGAAGACCTAGACGGTCATTTGTTGATCTCGGGTGATATGTTGTTTTACATTTGTTTATGCAAATATGAAATATTTTATATGTTATTTCCTTATCTTTTCATTCGTTTTTAAATAAAATGAAATTGAAAATCAAAATAAGTCCAAAATGTTTATAACAACGAAATCGTAACATACTCCAAATAACCACAATACGTGCAATTGATTAAAAAAAACAAGAATCAATGAGTTTCCAATAACCAAATTCTAACCAAAGGAATTGAATGTCATGGGGATTGACTGTGACGGAAGATGACATCATCCAGGCGAGTATCCCAATGTAGACCAAGATCCAGATCAAGTTTCTTCAAATCTTCGGTGCAAACTCGACTCAACCTTTCCATTACACGCATCCACTACAAATATTAAAAAAAAGTGTATTAAACACTTTCAGATTACGTGTGTTATTAAAATAAAATTCCATTGAGTGTTGAACTTACATAAGTCGTGCAGTTCTTAGCTGTTATGCGTGACGTAGACGGGACGGACGTCGGCAGTATGAATAGATGTGAATGACTCATGTACCAGTCCAGGTACTCTACAGCTGCCTGTCCTATCTCCGTAGACAATACCGGCATACAATAACTGAGGCTGATACACTCTGATTCCAGAAATCTAACCCAACAGTTACTGGTCTCGGTACTCAGACGATCAACAAAATACTTGTACGCATTTTTTCTGCGATACTGAGTGACCGGCGCACGAGGTATATACTGCGCGTAACCGAGCTGGCGTAGTACACTCTCCGGCATGTATGGCTCCTGGAAGTCGTGGTACATAATCCACCCACTGAAGATGGTCATGGATGTGCGGCCGCCTGTTCGCGACCGAATGGCTCCCATTCGACCTGCGAATGTTACCAAAATTTGTTATATAGTCTAATAAAATACCCCTTACGCAATACAAAGAAATAAAATATAACCACTACCTCTTGCTCAGTCATCGCATCGAGTTGCGCACGAATCTGTTAGAGTCAACTCTGAATAGGTTTCGGGCCCTTATAGCTAACTGGTGTCTAGTCCCAGGCTCTGGGCCAACCATCAACACCTCGACGTCCCCGACTTTTTGAGGGCTGGAAACATGGAAAATACTCATATATCCATGCCTGGAGAAGGGTCATACAACCAGCCATCGTGGTATATCCTACTCGACTAGCAATCCCGAGCTGACGGTAGAGGAATGCTAGTGTACCGGATCCCCAGGAGTAAGATTCAATATTGTCAACACCTCCGTGGAGCTCGTTCATAAGCGAAGCACTAATCCTGCCCCCACTCCTATCGAGGAAGAGTGTCGAGGCTAACAAGATCCACATCCAAGCTTGAACCTGAATAGCGGGGAGGAGCTTGTGACAACTCTCCTCAATCAATGTCGCTCATACCTCCATGGCTCCATGCACACTTTAAGTCAGCCACCGGCAACCCAAGCAATCCCAGACCTGCATCTTCAACATTTCTACTTCCGGAGGTTCAATCAACAAGTAACCCTCAACTGGAATCGCCAAAATGTGTGCCACATTATGCATCATGATGGTCATTTCCCCAAACGATAAGTGAAAAGAGTTTGTGTCGGGCTACCACCTCTCTAAGAATGTAGAAATAAGCGTAAGGTCAATGTCATTATACATGGTATCAATCAGATGATACAAATCGGTATTCTGAATCTTCAATTGCGCGTTCTTCGGCAACTTCGCATAGCATCCATGCAATCTAGACAAACTCTTATTCGTTGGCTTCATCGTCAGGTAATCTCTTGGTTCTCCATTCCACAACTGATAAGCAGCGTGGCCAAGAAAACTAGGAATCACTGACCTATCACATGGCCCGCCAGGTACGTCGTCCGTCACAACCCAATCATCAATTTGTTCGTTAGAAACCTTAGACCGTCTGTTAGTACCTGAAACCGAATAAAAAATAGTTGGTTAATACTCAACTTTAATGCAATAAAGAAATTGACGTCGCAGTAATGAATGCTTAAATATCTAATTACAAATACGTCGCTGTAATGAATGCTTAAATTGACATCGCAACTGCCTTAGGATGGCTAGAGGCACCAATGGAAGCGGCACCAAAACAGGAACGAGACTGACCGGTCTGCGTGGGGTGTGACGTAGTCCCGCCAGAAAGATGCTGGCGGCCGGCATCATGAAGAGTACTACTAGGACCTCCAAACAAAATGTCCCGCGGGCCGGTATCATGAAGAGTAGTACTAGGACCTCTAAGAAGAGCACTCTGTGGGCTGGCATGATGAAGAGTAGTACTAGGACCTCTAAAAAGATTATTTGTGAGCCGGCACGAAGACTGGAACCACCGGAAGTGTAAGCTGACTTCAACCCCGATAATCCAACAAGGGTCTTCCCCCCCTGGTAGGGTGAACTGGAGTCTGATCATCAGTACGACCAATGGGGTTCAGTACTGAGTTACCTCCAAAATGTATATCCCTCCTCTCAGGCGAGGAATACTCGTCTGACTCATCCTCCTCATCCACATCGCCCCTCTCCCCCACTCTCAAAACTATCCTAATCTTGTTCTTCCTCTCCCTCAAACTCATCATCATCATCTACATTGGCCGACTCATCAGGTGGGGCAAAAGTAAGATGTACATTTTTCTGTTTCTTTAAGTTTTTGTCTTTTTCTATACAATATTCAGCATATAGATTGTGTATAACTGTGTGACGATTACCAGATCCCTCAAGGGGCGATATCCCATCCTACAAAAGTTTTAATTTTACACGTAACTTTAAATAATCCTGATTACATCCCAAAAAAATTAGTTTTTATACATACTTAATAAAACCTAAATAATAAATTATTTAGATTAATTATTTTAATACACTGTTATATTATTTAAATACCTAATTATATAAAATTATCTATTATACAATCTTAAATATTTAATTTATTAAATCTACTAAATACAAGTAATAATAATTCGAAATATACTTCAATTAATTAAATTATCTACATATTTTATTATTTAATTTTAACCAAAATATAATCTAACTCTTTTTTTTTGTATTTAAATAATCCTTATTTATTTAATTTTCATATACTAAATATTTAATTTCTACGTATCACTTATTTTTTGAGGCTGATTACAATTAAACCGACTAATTCTACAAACAAATTTTCAATAATTAAACTAATTATAAAAACTTTCACAATTCTCCAAATTAATTTTAAAAAATGAAAGCTCCCTAAAACTACTAATGAATTTCTAAATATGAATATTATTAATAAATTATTTACTTAAGATTAAACATATTAATAAAAGTATTTCCTAAATAAATTAAACTAATAAAAATAAATTCCTGAGATTTATAATTACTAATAATAACAATTAAATTAAAATTACTAATATTTACTCTACAAAATAATTACAAAATAAATACTAAAAAAAATAAACATACCCGGCGTCGGCACAGACCGGCGCCGGATAATCTCGCCAGGCTCGCTGCCTGGCGAGATATTTCTCACCCCACCCTCAGAGGGTGGTGAAGATATGTTCGCCACCCTCGCCTCAGCCGGCGAGAAAACCGTTACCGGGGCGAGAAGAGCCGGCGCGGAGATCCACGCCAGCTCTGTAAGGGGTGGGGGCAGTGTCTTTTTTTTTTTTAAAAAAAAAAACCTCATATTTGAATTTAGAATTCAGATTTGAACGTACCTTGAGCTTCCGTGTTTCTTTCCGTAGCCGTTTCATTCGTTCCGCCATTGAATCTGAGTTTTTCGACTTTATGAATGAGAGAATTTGAAATGAAAGATTGATTTAGGAATTGAAAGAATGAAATTAAAATTAAAAATTTATAAAATTTGGTAGGGGCAACATGATTTTTGAGTATTAATTAAGGCGCTCAAATCTCAAAGGAAAGAATTATGACGCTCAACAGTCCCCCGGTATTTATTTACAACAATTTCACCGATAGAACCGAGTCATTTTGATCTAGTTCACTATTAATACAGAGCTAAAAGGATTGTCAATGCTCACTCTTTCAGCTACCTATGACTAATTATGATTAAACAAATTCAAAGTTAAAATGTGTTGGGAGAAGATTATGCGGTTTTTTCACAATAAATACCAACGACTTTGGGGTCCATACTTACATGACAAGCAGAAGAGTGTCATTTTAGTGCACCCCACAAAAACAAAAAACCTGCAGGGGATAGCTGCCAGCCGCCGTATTCCGCCCCACCACCGCAGGGCCCGTTAGGATTTACACACAAAATCCATTTGGCAGAAAAAAAAAAACCGGACCCATTTGGTGGGCCTTTTTCGCCGTTTTATATACAGTTCACTTTCTTCCTTATCATCTGAAACTGAAAACCCCTTCCCGTATAGGTTTTCTTCACTTCATCATTTTTTTTTTAAAGACCGAACAAATAATGCTCTAATGACTTTGGAGTTTTGATTCACCCACCATTGAAAAGCCTTGATATTTTCCACCTCCTGATCACTTTCTTGATCAACCACCTTAAGAAAGTTAATGTACCCCCTCTTTCTCGTCCCAAACTGATTATCAGGTTTGTTTTTTTTTTTTTTTTGAAAAGGTTGTTTGTTGTTAGTACAACGGAAGTTAAACAACTATCATAATGTTATCTAGCTTATGTCAAGTTTATACACATATAAATGTCTTTTTTTTTTTTGAAATGGTATATAAATGTGAGTTGGATAAGCAAATAAGAGATAAACTCATCTTTTTTAATTTTTTTTTCCCCAATTCAATCTGATAAAAGTGATATACTCTGATTCTGTCATTTGGCAGAAGAGTACACAAAAAGAGCTAGAGCTAATATAGGTCTAGATAGGTTTGGTTTTGCTCAAAAGCCTAGAGAAGGAAAATATATTCATTTTACAGTCTGCAAACTTTGTACTTTCTTGTGATCATATATGTGCGGGACATTTAAGTTGCTCACGCCCTCCTTGATCCATAGAACACATTTTTACCTCCATGCATGCAGAGAGAAAAAAAAAAAAAACTAAAGACAAAATTACAAGACATTGTGTCACACATATATACATGTTAGCTCGGTTTCTGATCTTTTTTTTTTAATCGAAAAATAAACAAGGCATTATTAAAATAATAATAAAAATCCCACAAAAACTAGCTAAGATATTTATGCTGCTTTCATTCCAACTCGATCAAAAAATATCATGAAGACGTGCGTTTGTGTGTGTGTGTGTGTGTGTGAATTGGGAGCGTGGCACGCATGAGATGTTGGTGGTGGAAGCAGCAGCGGATGGAGCAGGAAAAATGCATGACAAATGGATTACTGTATATCTTATATATTACTATGTCAAAGTTATTAATATATAAGTTAACCATTTTTGTGAATCTTTACTGCTGCTTGGATGGCTGGCTGTAGATTTTTATTTTTTATACCTCACGAGGCAAAAATGCATGACATTTTCAAGGGTAACTTAATTGCTGTAAGTTGGTATTGTGGTTCCATAGGCAAAAGGAGGAATTGAGAGAGCAATAAATAATGGTGAGAAGACTCCCATGCATATATGGCGGGAGAGAGTTAAAATTACTTCATCCTCACGAGACCTCAACATTCAGCATTTATTACCATTATATACAACTAATTAACTCTTTACTCTTGTTTTTTTTTTTTTTTACTAGCCTTCTTTCTTTCCTAGTACCTGCCCCACTTCGTGCGCAATTCACTATGTAGATATTCCCTTTCGATTTTTTTTTTTTTTTTACTATCTATAAATAGTGCGGATTCTTAGGGGAGTTTTGCACTCGTGCATTTTGGGAAGAAAGTGACCAAAAAAAAAAAAAAATATTTAAGTTTTGATCAGAATATCATTACTAGTGTATATTGTTCTGTTGTTTTTTTTCCAAGGTTTGATCTTGTATATTATGGCTCACATTGCTGTGGAAAGGAATAGGAGAAGACAAATGAATGAACATCTTAAGGTTTTGCGTTCTTTGACACCATGCTTCTACATCAAGCGGGTATGTTGTCAACTTTTTCTTTTCTTTCTTTCTTTGGTATAATTTGTGGGTTGTGAAGATCATGTCATCATCTCGAATGTTCTAGCGTCTATGTGTGTATTAATCGTGTTTTATTGAAACGAGAAATAACGTGCTATCAATAATATATCATGTTCAAATTGTACCAAACTTTCAATCGTACATTTTTGTTCTACCAAAGTAGGACTCTAGATTTGTTACAACTTACAAGGGTGTGTGAAATGTTGTGGAATTGGGATTTTCCCTTTAATTTGATCCTCGTTTTTTTTGCCTTTAAAAGCCCTAATCTCTTTCATTAGTGATTGGATATGATAACCCCTAATAGATGGGTAGTTTATATTGAAATTGATGGCCGGAAGCCTAACATAACACCAGAACATGTATGATTATAAGGTGGAATCATGACAACGACTTTATTATATGATCAATTCTTTTATTTTGTTTAGAAATTTAACAATTGATCATATGATCGAACATTTCTTTTGTGTTAATTGTACTAATTACTGAATTGCTACATTGATTACAGGGAGATCAAGCATCAATCATAGGAGGTGTGGTAGAATTCATCAAGGAATTACACCAAGTTGTTCAATCCCTAGAGGCGAAAAAGCGAAGGAAGAGTCTAAGCCCTAGCCCTTCAAGCCCTATTACTCCAAAGCCATTGATGTTGCTCAATAGTCCTCAATCAACTGATCAGACTTCACTAATATCTTCTTCACTCCACCATGATCAACATTCATTTAAGGAGGAAGTTGTAGCTTGCTGCAACTCCCCCGTGGCCGATGTGGAGGCAAAGATTTCGGGATCCAATGTTGTCTTGAGGACCGTGTCTAAGCGAATCCAGGCTCAACTATCCCGAATCATCGGTCTTTTGGAGAAATTTTCTTTTGAGATTCTCCATTTGAATGTCAGTAGCATGGAGGATACTGTTCTTTACTCTTTTGTCATTAAGGTATACATAAATTATCCATTATGATATATCATCACGACATTTTCATCCAAACATTGAGGAAAGATGAATAAACTAAGACATGGAAATAGAATTTACACGGGACTTTGGTTATGGTTTGATTTTATTATGTGTTGAAGAACGAACTGCATACTTGATCACATTAGAAATATGGAGACTTTCCTTATTTGGTAAGGAGTTACCTGCTTATTTGTTGCTCTCTTCAATGCAACCAATATGGCAGATAATGCTTACCAGAGTAAAATATTGCATGAAATTGAGAAAGTTCGTTTTCAGATTCGAATTATTTTGATGGAAACAATCTAATTTCACATTATTGTGACAAAATTTTTGTGCATTTTCACTATAAACTGACTACATTAACATTTCATTTGATTTTTCAAATCAAGGTAAAGATAACATATTGAATCGTTTTTTTTAAAAAAAATAAAAAATAATAAAAAAAATTCTTCGTGGAAATCTTGCATATCTTTGTTCATTTGCGAATTCTAGGTAGTTTATTGAGTGGCAACATTTGCTCACCCTTTTTCTTTGTTTCTTTCTTTCTTTCCTACGATTGATTATCACAGATAGGGCTTGAATGTCAACTCAGCCTGGAGGAACTTGCAACCGAAGTTCAACGTAGTTTCTCCCAAGAATCAGTTTATGCCAAGGAGGTAGATTGCTAGTTTGATATAAAAAGCTGAAAGTGGAGGGACACTTTCCATCATATATACTAAAGGATCTAGCTCTCCGTTCCATAATTATAGTAACGCGTCTCTATTATTTTAGTATTAGAATGTAATTATTTTTCTGGAACAGAAAGAATAGTAAATAAAGATAGCATACTCGATTTGCATGTATCATGCATATCAAATCAAACAACCAACTTTCATTCAACTTGTGGAATCAAATGATATCCTTCTTTACTTTTTTTGAAGATTAAACAATGTCATAAGAGAATTGCATAGATAATGAGGATACATATTTATAAATAGTTGATCATCTCTTGAGCAATGCAAATTAATCATTGAAAGAGAACTGATGATCGATTACAAGGAAATATAAAATCTATAAACTAAACTAACTAGCTAAGCACATGAAAGAGTGACCACCAGCACAAAATGTAAAATTGAAAATGAAAATTCATTATCTCTAAGAAAGGGTCTTTAGGTTTGAACTAAACCTAGTTTAGTCATCTGATGAAAATTGATTAATTATGAATGATTTATCTTATGCTAATATTCATATTTCTTGAAATGCTTTAATTTTAAAAATGTGGGGATTATATTATATTATAGGGCAAAGGGGAGTAAGAATGTCGTTGTCAAATTAGTTTATGATGGTGATCATTCGACAATGAAGCTCTATTGGGGTATATTTGCACTCTAAAGCCACTTTGAAGTAGTTGTTCATTATTTGCTGGAATTGTAACCTTTTCCACAATTTCTAATTAAAAGAAAGGTAATAATTCACGCTTCCCCCCCTCCCCCCCTTTTTTTTTTTATCAAGTTTCACGGTTTTAGATCTCAAAACAAATCAATAGTTAAAAAGTAATTCTCCAATCTCACATACCGTTCGAGGCCACTTTATTGATGAAAAATAAAAATCATCATCTCATTTCAACCATTATGGTGAAAGAATTAGTTCAACCCCAACCTAACAGTGATTTATTTTATTTATTTTTTTTCTTTTTACGAAGAAAAAATAAAGAAAATATGGAAAATTTTAAGTTCTAACTTCTAACCGTGTACATGGACCTTGTCAAGCTCGTGGGCTCTCAACCTTCAAGGAAACAATTGACAGTTATCTCTTGGGCAACCTGCCTCCATGAATTAGGCCAATTTATAACTCATTAGATAGAGTATTTGATTGGGCTGGAAAATTTCTTTGGGATACAGGCCCAATGGTAGTGAAAAATCTATTCATACGAAATATGAATTTCTATAGCTATGTTTTCTGCTTAGCATGTTTTTCAGTAGATGTTTTAGGCACTTTATTACACTAATAATTCAATGTCTGTCACACAATGGTTTAAGAACCTCTAGTTATATGGTGGTAGTAGTTGGCTGATTTGCTTGAGAAGTTCTTTTACTATGCTGTTAAACACCCAGTAATTTTCACAGGTCTCAAGTTCGAGTAACGTGATACTAGCAAACTCTAGCATCATTTCCACTTATTTAGCGCTATACCTTGAAAAAGAGAAATAAATTTGGAAAAGTAGAAACACGAGAAATAATACACAACTTATTCTCTAAATTATGGTGAAGAATCAACTTAAATTTGTGAAACATCTTATTTTTTGAAGTAAAAACAATTTAATATAATTGTTGAATTGAGGTTTTGGCCTGATAGTAAGGATCTAAGTGGATCTCCTATAAGTCTAAGGATTCATTTTCATCCGAGATATGTAATGAGAGATTTTTTCACATTTAAGTAAGATCCAATAAAATGTTTGTTTATTTATTTATTTTTTGTTATATTACAATGAAAGAGACAAAACCTGAAAATTAAATTACAATATTTTTAGGGTAAGTAACCCCATTAGATCATATTTTAGCCATATGTGCGCTCCTGTTGGAGGATTTTCTAGAATATACAATCCCCTGATCCCAGAATCGCTACAGAAGCCAAATAATCCAACCACAAAGTTTGATTCTTTCTAAACATGAGGCACCTCCACCTCTCATGAAAGACTAGTAATTACTTATCGCTCGGACCAAACTATCATGGATCCCCAAGGATTCCTGATTACTCGTCACCATTTGTGGGACACACTGACTATCCAAAATTTTGGACAGTAAAAATATATGATAACTTTGGACACAAAAAATACTGCTATACATCATCATGTGTAGGGGCTGAGTGTCCTAACTTTGAACTGCCTCAATAACTTCCCATGACCTTTCTATGTTATATTCAAAGCTTTTTGACCATCAAAGATGTAATATTACTAACTAACCGCATATTACTTACTACCTTGATGACTCTACTTTTTCTCTACTGACAGACACAAACCGAAGATGACCTAACATTTTCCCGTCATCACCACCTCTGGTTTCTTCCTTATTTCCTAGGCATCTCTATCTTATTAGACTAAGTTGAAGTGAAATTTCACAATGATGATGATAAAGCCAACTTAAATGATCAGGAAATGAAAACTCAAAGAATATTATCAAGCACTATTACGTCAATTCATTCGAAACGGACACATATCACATATTCAATCGTGACATTTCAATCTAAAATAGTAATCAAAACAGAAATGCAATCTACACTCAAAATTGTAAATTGTAAAAAATTATTCTTTCCATCTTAAAACGATTGTTTTATTTATTACACGTAGTCAATGTAATAAATATAACATTTATTTTGGGACGAAGAGAACACATAAATAAAGAGTAATGTCATATTTTGGAGAATGCGTGTAGAATGTAATGTACTATGGGTGGAGATGGATATGATGCATGTGAGATCACTCGGTGAAAGGGAGTTACAGCTTACATATTTAGTATTTACAGCCTTTTACACAAAGAGAGAGTAATAATGAGGATAGCGTGAGTGGGCCCTACAAATTGAGTCCACCGTACAAACAAGAAAAGATTCCGTCTCTTCTGCAGGCTAGTCGGGGGGTGTGTGTGGGACCCTCCATGAAACAGGCTAACGACAATTTTCGCCGTTAGCGAGCCTCCGTCATCTCTTTTACTTCCTTTTTTCTTCCTCCTCCTTTTTTACTAGATTACGTCTGTTAAGGTTGTGGATTTACCTTAATGCCATTTAGCCTCACCCGATATTGGCTTCAACGGCTTTGATGGCTCTAACGGCTCGGCTGCTCAATATCATTGAGTATTAATGGAGAATTATTTTGTATTAAGGTTAAACTCATGTAGTTTTTTATTTGTTTTTTTTTTTCTTTTTCTAAATGATAAGAGAAAAAATAACAGCTAATAATCATATAGTACGTTTCTTTTTTCTGGCTTGACACTTGACCGATAAAAGTTTAATAAATATGTCTTTATTCAAATAAGTTAATTTCTCCGTTCTTGAAAAATAATTTACTGTGCAGTTGTTTTATGCTAAAAATGGTAAAAATCAAAATACACAATGTGGATTATTTTTATTTTTTTTTCGACAAAGAAAGTATAATATATCTATTTTTATATATTTTTATGTTTATCCTCCATTAATACAAGTTTTGGGGAATTTTCTTTTCTTGAACATTTCCTCATTAATTTTACCAATTTGTTTTCTACACAATTTGTTCATTTCTACCTCTGATGTTGAATATTAATTAGTTATTTCAATAATACGTTTTATCCACCAACTCTCTCATGATGGCATTTCAAGTTGAAAAAGAAGAAACCTAAACCAAAATAATAATAATTAAAAAAACAAAAATTCTTGCCGTAAATTTAATCTTTATTAAGGTACTCCTCACGAATCACGACGATGACAAACGCGTGAACACACATAAAATCCAATGGTTGCATCGCTTATCGATTTTTTTTTTCTCTAATTATTAGTCTTCGTTATGAGCTAAATGAATCTCTTTTTCTTAAAATATTTTTTTAAATATACAATGAGAGAGGCCGAAAATTAAGAATAAAAAAATCATAATTTTACATGGATATAAAACTTCGATAAAATCGTGTTTCATCATTGCCTCACTTCCGTCGGTGGACTATGAAAATATTGATAGATCCTAAGATTCCGAGATGTGATATTTGTTATAAAATCTGCAGCAAAATTAATCTATCCGTATACATGATTGTTGGATATATATATTTGCATAGTTGAACAATCATAACGATATCAAATGAACTAATATGTTTGTAGGTGGACGATCCTAGTTAGATTTTGACAAAAAGGAAAACATGACTCATGAGCTACGTTGTAGAAACATCAAGCAGAAAGAGAGGGGGGAATGTACCCACCGGAAACACCAAAAAGAAAGGAGGCAATGTGGCGGAAGGTGGTGGGGCAGCACGGCGGAAAGCGGCCGTGAAGGGAGGCAGAGTGGCCAACAACAACATGGGACCATTCACCAAACCCACATCATGTGATTATTCTTCTGCTAAGTATTATACTACTACCTCGGACATAGAGCTTTGAACGTAGAATTTCCCTTGAAATTAAATCGCTTTCTTGACTTCTATCCTCCTAAAAACCCTAATTTTTTAATCCCACCAAATAACCCTCTAATAATTGATGAATTATCCACTTTTAAAGTTCTCCTCATTTGTTGTAGGATAACTAAACATTATTAATTTCCATGACTCCTACCGACTTCTTATTTTAAAATTACGAAAATGATAGTTTTTCTGATTCTTATTTTGAAACGGAAAGAATAAAGACATTTTTTATTTCTTGATCAGCAGCTGAAAAAGAATAGGAAGGGCTCTCCTCTAATAAAAACAAAACAAAACAAATTACCACTAAGAACGAGGTCCAATTAAGGGGATAGCTTCTTGTGAATTTATATGAAATTTTGAGAGGGGTGCTTCTTAGTTCTTACTAATTCACGTCAACAGTCCACACTTATTTGTTCTTTTACTGATTAATTTAGTACCATTTGCTGCATTATGTGCGTTGAAATTCGACGCTACGTACACATTTGATTAAACTAATATAGGAGCCAATATTGTATTGCAGAATATACAGTCAAAAATTTTCTGACACTTTTTGCTGTGTGGAAATCAGTGGATTAAAGATTAAACAATTCCATATTCCATATTCTTTCAACTTTTCAGGCAAAGGGGTTGCAGTAGTTAATTTAAATAATCACTTGATAACTGTTCCCTAACACTCTGGATATGTTTCATTAACAATAATAAATGTTATGATTAAGGTTAAGTTTAACAGTCAGTAGACTGGAAGTCCTTTAGGGG